TTCCGCTGCGGCATCGGTTGCGGCGGCAATGGGGTCGGGCTTTTCATGTGGTTTGATGTCCCCCTTCAGGCCAGAACTGACCTTGTCCATAGTACCGGGTGCGGCGCCCTCAACAACACCACTACCGAGTGTAGGCGTGTTGACGCCAGGAATACTATTGGCGGGCACGGGGGCACCCAAGGCGCTGCTAGCCAGCATAAGGGAAAGAAAGAGGGAGGTGAGCTTCATGCCTGAGGTGTGCATTGTGTATTATATATTAGGTAAGGTATTCGCGAAAAGAAAGAAGAAAAAGTATTAACCCGTAAACAAGTAGATATGTTGTGTAAGGCAAGAGGCAATGTCGAAAGACTGTGATGATGATGATACTGAAGAGGAGGTGGGCTTGGGGTACTGCTTTATACACCTATTGAAGTCTATTGACAGGACTTGCAATTGGGCCCCCCCCTCTAACCTGATGCGTGAGGTGCAGTTCTACCTTTCCAAACTGAGCTGTTGGCCCCGAGAGAGGTGGAAGTGGAGGTGGAGGAGGCGGAAGAAGAAAATAAAGTTGTGGGTATTGCACATCGCAATGAGATTCATTCGGTGCGCTGCAGACGGTCGTAGTGGCGCTTCTGATTCACTTCCCTGGGTGGCCGGCGCCGAGCAAAGCAGGAAAGTAGCGCAAGTCCAACGAATACCGCAGTGCTATAGAACATCTCAGAGCACGTATGTGCCTAGAGTAGAGACTATAGGCACTCTGTGTTCTAGTAGAGTATAGATATACGGGCAGATGAATACGTTCGCTACTCTGCTTCTGAGGTGATTCCTACTTTACAATTACTGCCAGCCCACGTAAAGCACCAATCCTCAATTCAACCCACCTAGCAAAGAACGCTCACCTCCGCAATCCCCCCAACATCCATCATCACAATTCACCCCCAATTGCCCGGAAAGGTATACGGGCCTCCTGAAGATCTCTCGACCGCTGTCCGAGCCACCAAGACATCTCACCCAGAACAAATGCGGGCGGTGGTGGTGGTGACGGGGCAAGAGGAGGCGTCTGTCTCGTCTCGTCTCTCGGTGAATTGTTTAGTTTTGTTTGGTACTGACGAAACCTGAGCCATGGCCCAGGCTCTTGCGCGTTGTCCGGTCCCAAGGCAATGTTTTCCACGTCGTAGAGTGGACGGGGAGTAAACAATCCCAGATGGCTATGGGTACAGAGTTCTATGTACCTACTCTTGGTACTCTTGGATGCGGTTGACGTTGTATCCATAAAAAAAAAAGTAGTAGGGAAAACAGTCTCTGTACGAGAGCTATAAGATCGTCCCCCCCCCTCCCCCCCCCAACAAACTACAGCAGAGCAGTTCATCCCTGCTCTCGTGCAGCTGTCTTTCGCGCATACGCAACCCGCCATGCCCAACTGGTAATACAACCTCCGTCTGTAATCACGCATTCTGCTCTCTAGAACCCTTGGTCTTAGTATGTTTGATATCATGATATCACTCAATCTTCGTGAGCGCGCATCGAAATTTCGCGGACCGCTCCGTTGAGCATCATTGATTGAAACAGAACAGAACGCGTAACAGCATATTTGAACACTTCCTTATGACGTCGACGCTGAGCCAACGTTACCAATTCCAATCCGTCACTCTCCCCCCTTCATCTTCATCTTCTTTTTCTTTTTCTATGAACATCACTCAGGGGGGGCAAACCAAGCGATCAAACTAGATCCGGCGCTGTACCCCGGGGGCCAAGATATGCATAACCGCCAACTATTATATACCAACAACCCCTAACAAGCGACGTCAAAAGAAGCTTTGGTGCCTTGCGGGGCCTTATCAATCCCATTGTCGACGTCGAGCGTTCCCGGGGTAACGCGCGAGTTGGGGGGGGGGGTTTGAGTTGTCAACTGTCTTGTCTTGTCTTGTCCTCCCGCGCGCACATATGCGGGCACGCGGAATAAGCCGTCGGACGAAAGCGTACATCCATCGGCTGCCATTGACTAGGCTGGCGACTGATTCTTGTTGCTGTTGGCCAATGGAAATCTGTCAATGGTCGAAATGGAACACAAAGAGTTTGATCGCCCAAATAGGGGAAGCTGGTTCAGACAATATTGGGGCCTATCACCCAGGTTTTGCTCCCGCTCTTGGTTGTCGACGACTGCTGTGTGAACGATGTATGTAAAGCCCAGTAGTAATCAATCAATACCATGGAGAGAGAAGATTGGTCATAAACAGTACTGGTTTAGCACATGAGAACTTGTTTTGTATTCCAACAGTGTTAATTATAATATGTATGTCCTAGCTCAGACCGTTTTGGGTGGAATAAAACGTTGGAACAATTATTCTAACCCAGGGAGGGTGGGGGGGGGGGGGCTGTCTGTGGCAAATCGACGGATTTTTTGCCTTTTCCGATTTCAATTAGGTGGGAGGGTAGGATATCTTCTCGGAGTTGACTTCTCCCCATAATTTTGAGAAACATGTAGGCTCGAGTGCTTTCACTCGAGGACATGTAAATACAACCTGGCCGGGTAGCGGTGTCACGATAGCCAATATGGGGGAGGGTGGGGGGCCTCCAATATACTATAAGATCTCCCGAGTTTAACCCCGTCTGATTGTATAGAGTTTCAATCGTCGGATTTGATGTATGTCGAAGAGATAGTTGTCCATTTCCCGGGATTAAATAATTCGAACACTACGAGTCCAACTTTAAGCTACTATCATACCTACCGCGGAAAATGGCGGTCAGGTCAATTCAGCCAATCATGCGAGAAACAAGAAAACGGTTGATTCATTCATCTAATGCAATAAGCCTATATAGAAGGTTGACAGCTAATTTCTTCTTTAAGAAAATCCGTTTGCTCTTTTCATGCAACCCCTTCGTTGAATATACTCCCTATCAAGAGACTCTATCAACTGAGCGAGACTACAGGACTCATACGCAGCCAAGGGTTATTCAGCAAGATGTTGAGGGGCTGGCTTGACTCCAGCTAGAAATATGGCACAAGGAAGCCGCAGCTGCCGCACTAATCACCCTAAAGTAGGTAGGTCTTCCTAGGCTTCGGGTGGGGTTTTGTAAACCGTGCAGCCACTTTTCCCTTTCGTATGATAATCGATAAGGATCAATCATCAACCGGAATTGAGTGACTTATGTAACGAGCTTGGCCAGATTATTAGAACCCGACTTCCTACCGGATGCAGGAAGATGCATGTATTACGGCCCTGATACCGTTCGCACGTTCATGGGGATGTCCCGGCTCCTGACGGACAGCAATATATAACGGGTACAAGCATACGCATACCGATCCTGTAACAGCATCATCAACCGTCAATGACCATATATTTTTGAGGCATGTATGAGAGAATTTTAACTGGTCGTGAACTCAGGGCCATATCTCAATGTACCGTTGATCCCAATAAGAAGACGGGAGCACGGTGCGGTCGCAACAGATCAACGGAGAGGAAAGGGATTAAGCCAAAGTGTTCCAAAACGAGTAGTGGTCGTGCATGAAGCTTCCTGTTTAGACTGTTCTATCAATTGACGTGCATGTTTACAGACATCTATAATGGACGAAGCACATCAACAGAAAACCCAGGGATCACCGACTGCCTCGCTCACTCGAGTGATTCCTTGTGATGCACCACGCTAGCTACCCGAACCCAAGCTCGTCAAGCTCGGCTAAACGTGCAGATCTGTCGATTTAGCACGCGAGAGCACAGGCATCGAACCCACAACCTCAACCTTACAGCTGGAGTCCTATCTACAGAGACAATACACCGCCACAGGAATTATCACAAAATGGGCGATAAGGAAGCTCTGATGGATGCTCTCAAGCAATACACCGCCTGTGATGTGCGTTAGCTACATAGCTCTTCACTCCTCCACACACACACAAACACACCCGAAAGCTCTAACACCCCACCAGATATCTGATGCCCTCCTCAAGCTCAAAGTCCCCAACGCTGGCTTTCTCGTCGACATCCGTAACCCCCCCCCCCCCCCCCCCAACTCCTACCCCCCCCCCCCCCTCCACACCGCCCCACTAACACCTGCTAGTACCCCGCACCTCCACCCCCGGCATCAACATCTCCGTCGCAACCACCGTCCTCTTCGCGCCCAAAGACACCACCGAGCCCAAGTGCTCCCTTCCCGCCGACACCCACTTCGCCGACTTTATCACTCCCTCATGCACAGTAGTCGTCTCGCAGCCGCCCGACCAGCGGTGTGCCGTCGTCGGCGGTATCGTCGCAGAACGCATGTACCAGCTTGGGGCACGCGCCATCATTGTAGACGGGCGGGTGCGCGACCTGGACGAGCTGGGGAAGAGGGATGACCTGATGGTCTTTTCAAAGGGGGTTAGTGCGGTTGGGGCGGGTGCGGAGGCGAGGGCGGTCGCGGTGGATGATGTGGTTACGGTGCAGGGGGTGGATGTTGCTAGCGTATGCGCTCTCCAGATCCCTCTCTGAACCCCCCGTCTATACTAATCGGTGTATTGCCATGCTGCAGGGTGACATCGTCTTTGCAGATAGCAAGAACGGGGTAGTAATCATCCCCGCCGCACACCTTGTACAAGTGGTAGGGATGCTGCCGAAGATGGTAGCCGCGGACGCAAAGGCCATGGAGGATGTCCGCAACGGTAAGAAGATCTATGATGCGTTCAAGAAGCACCGTGGCAAGTAGGTAAATGTAGGGCTTGGTTTATATACCAATTTCCACTTGATGTAGGATTTTAAAAACAAAGTTTGAATCACGAGTTATCACTCACTCCTCCTATATCAACTATATGAAGAGAAGAGGGCGCCGGAGCTACGGGAGAAAAGTACGTATTCAGGGATTCGGAGAAAAGAGCTCGTAGCAAGTAAGCAGCGAATTGACCTAAAAAGAAGAAGAAGAAAAAGAGAGAGAAGAGGCTACAAGTCCACCCAATAAGTCCCCTCACCATGACAACGGGTAAACACGCCAAAATATACCTGAAGCTCCGCTGTAGTGGCCAAGGTCTGACTGCCCCCGTCCACGATCACGGTTCCATGGCTCAGTTGGTTAGCGCGTGGTGCTAATATCTTGACACTTTACGGTGCCTAAATGTTAACGCCAAGGTCGAGGGTTCGACCCCCTCTGGAACCATAAGATGTTGAAGATGATGATAGCGTACTTGAACAAGGTACCCATCTCATCTGATGTATTTTTGTTTTGCTTTGCGGGTGTTGGTTGTTTTGGTCGGCGGTGCTGATTTTCAGGGTAAGGGTTGTTTTATTTTGTTCACCCGCAATTCTAGAAGGGACTATCATAGAGTTCGCACAGAATCTGATGACAGATCTGAACCCCAACCGGTTCCTCCAACCACACCATTTGTCAGCTCTCCGAGGCCTTTATTGAGTTTTTGCAATATGATGGGCGTCGCCGGCGCGGCTGGATGGATCTATCGTATGAGGGGTAATGAAGTGCAAATTCCAGAAAACTACTACGCTGGTAGGTACATGTAGCTAGACACTGCCAGAGTACGCAGGTACCAAGCAGCCAACAAGCACACAAAGCCACACACTCCTACCGTCCCTATATTTTTGTTTTACAATCCCTCTACGGCACGCAGCTTCAAGCCGAGTGACCACCTGTGAGTCCACCAGTGCCAATGTCACCCATCACCCATCACCCGTCACCCATCACCCGTCACCCATCACCCGTCACCAATCACCCATCACCCATCACCCATCACCCATCACCCATCACCCATCACCCGTCACCCATCACCCGTCACCCATCACCCGTCACCCATCACATCACCCACCACATCACCCCACCACCCACTCCCTCCATGGCCCGCATGCACGCCAGAGACACCCAAAACCACACACACATCCCGCACGCGCCGATCCCACTCTGAAACAACTAGAAACTTCTCAGATCCCCCCGATCCCTCAGAGGCTTTATTTATTTTTCCCTGTGGTACATACATACCGTCGTCCACACCTGGGCCTGTCATGTCCGTCAACACCCGAGCGACAGCAGTGTAGAGTAGGTACTCTACTTTACTGATATGTATTCGCATCGCGACCAACCGCTACGTCAGCCGCTGTCACGATTACACTCCGGATGAATACCTACCTACCTCACCTCACCTCACCTCACCTCGTCTGCCTGCCTGCCTGCCTGCAGGGTTAGGGGTGCTAATACTGCGTTCCCCCCAAACCCGGTTTTGTTTAGAAGCGAGACAAGACGAGACGAGACGAGACGAGACGAGACGGGACGGGACTGGCGTGGAATGATCGCCGCGGGTGGGGAATCGGGTTTGGTTATGTAGGCAGGCACAGTTAGAGTAGGTACATAGCTGTAGGTATTCTTAGACATAGGGCCCAATTTGCGAAATACAATCACCTTCCCCATCGCGCACACAAAAGAAATGAAAAAACGTGTAGCTTGACGGGTGTATCGGCCAGTCAAGCGGTCATAGCTTGGAGTGCAGAGGAGGGAGGGAGGAAGTGAAGGGCGGAAAGGAGAGGAAATTTCTAGATCTGGTGAACCGATATGCTGGGCTCGATAGATTGCGGCGGGAGGTTCCTGCCATGTTTACACTCTAGTAGGGGGCAAAATTTTGTTTAAATTTTCACTCGGGAGGGAGGGATTGGAGAGACGGGGGAGGGGGGAGGGCTGGTGTGTCTTGGGCCTCCTTGTGTTTTGTAGCTCCTGTCTGTACTACTGGGTTTACCCAATCTATGTGTTTGTTTAATGCTTGGAGTCTGATATTTGATATCACGGAGTTTATAGCAGGCTCTATGTAGGTACGGAGCCGGCCTTCTCTCGCGGTCGCACTAAGTAGCTAGGCAGTTAGAGTAGGTAGTTAGTTGGTTAGGTAGCTGGCGATCGCGCGGTCGCGAAACCGCACCATATCGCATCGTATCGCCATCGTATCGTATCTTACCGTATCGTGGAGCAAGTAGGTCGCGTGGTATTCAGGAGGGAGCTCAGGAGGCTCAGGTACAGTAGGTACAGAGAGCCGACAACAAAGCTTCAGAGCCCCACCTCGCACGCCGTCGCGGGTGGCAGGAGCGTGGCGTAAGAGCTCAAAGGGCCGAGTGTTTCCTCTTTGGGGCGCCAAGAGGGGCAGGTATTGTTCGCACAGACGTCAGATGTCACGGCGTACATAGGGCTAGGAATGAGGGAGGGACCGCGGGGAGGGTGAAGGAAAGTTGTGTGTAAAAAAAAAAGAGAGGGTGGAGTTGACGGTCGGCACATTGAATTGTGCCTGTGCTCACTTGCTTTTTTCTTTTCTTCCCGGAGTGCAGCTGGTTGTAGAGAGCATGTAGAGTGGACAATGGAGGTATTAGAAGCGGATGTATACCTACACTATAGATTAATACCGTGTAGAAGTATAGGAGCATAGGGAGCGGAGTAAACTAACTTAGAACCCGGAGACAGAGAGAAGAACTCCTTAGATTGGCCCCTAGGATTCAACACAAGGCCACACACGTTCTTGTTATGAATGGATGGACAACACCGATCGGAGTGATCATAATCGAGGGGGTTAGGGGCAACAATCCGGTACGTGCAGATAGTCTAGCAGAATATCAAAGAGGTCTGTTGTTGTTTTACCAGTTGACAGGTGCAGAGGTTTTTTTTCTTTCAACCTGGGGGGGTTGGATGGTTTGCCAGGAAAGCAGCGGCGACGCACTGGTAATACATAGCGTGAGAGAGCACAAGTAGTTTAGTGGAGTGGGCGGGTACTGTAGTTTAGAGGAGGGAGGAGTGAGGAAGGTTGCAGACTTGCAGTTAGTCCCGTCCGCCTGCCTCTCCCACCTTTCTTTCCCTCCCTCCAACAACACACACGACATCGTCTCAGCTACTTTCCCTTTCCCTCCATAACCCACTCGCCCCCCCCCCCCCCTCCTCCCCCCCTCCATAACAACCTTCGCCTTATCGCACCCATCCTATATCCTTATTGACACGACTTTTCGCAACTGCATCCCACGGGGTATCCGCGAGTAGATATCCCCTATCTGCTTCCTTTTTCTGGGACAGCACAACTCCACATCACTTCTTGGTAAACCCAGCCATACGATTAACTTCAACTTCGCACCAACCTCCACCTCCACCTCGTCCACCTCCGCCTCCGCCTCCACCTCCACCTCCACCTCGTCCACCTCGCTCCAGTGCCCAACAACTAGAAAGGAAGTAAAACATCATCAACCATGGCTTCCATGACTCCACCAATATTCAACGTGGAGGATCTCGTAAATGCAGCAGCGGGAGTGGCTCCGCAGCACCAACCACAAACAGGAGAGACGGCGACGATGCAACAGCCCCTGAGAACGTCGCAGAGCTTCCGGGTAGATGAAGGTTATAGCGGTGAGGAGACGCCCAGTGTGTACGAGGATCCGAACCAGAGAGAGGACTTGCGATCAATTAGAGAGAGTGCAGAGCTGAAGATTCCGGCTTGGGTGACAGGACTTGATGATGCGTCAAGAGAAGGTTTGTAAGCACACTTCCTTACTCGATGCTTTTCTCTTCTTCTACAGACTACATGCGCTATTTCCTACAATACCACCGAGATTATCATCTTGGTTGATGGCTCTCATCTTGGTTGAAGAGGCCTTGTTACCGTTGTGTGCAACGGCTTGTTGTGGTTTCAGTAGGGGAAGAGAAGGCCCTTTGACGGCCTGCCGCCTGACATGTCCTCCCATTCCCCTCATTCTTGTGGTACACATCTGCAGTGACAGCTCATAATTGTATTTCACGTATCTTGGTTTACTCAGCGATGCTTCTTTAGATTCGAATCACCTATTAGCTGTTCGTGATCGCTAATATCGGTCTTTTAGAGTACGCTTATAAACTCGTCCGTACCCTACCGACATCCAACATCGCATCGCTGGTCGATAGATTGGTCCCAATCCTCCATCTCGACTTTGTCCAACTGCTCCCTTCCGAGCTATCGCTTCAGATACTATCGTACCTACCCGTGCGTTCGCTTCTCAATGCGTCACTGGCTTCGCGCACATGGCGACGATTCGCTCTGGAGCCAAGGCTCTGGAGAGACCTGTATAAAGGCGCCGGATGGGAGGAAAACAGCGCCGAAGTACGACTATTTGAGAATGAAATGCAACAGCAGAAACGGAAGGCTGAGGAGCAAAGAGACGAGGAAAAGAAACTTAGAGATCTAGCAAGGCGGAACATAGACCGGTTTAGGTCGGGTCCTGGAAGTCAAGGTGAGAGGTCTGCATCGGACTTGTCTGCTGGCCCTATGGATATGAGTGGGGATAGTTCTACCCAAGGAAGCTCCGGTGTATACGGCACTCCAAACCAGGACGCGGAATACTTTCCTTATACAGCCGATTCTTTAAGAACTATCCGCCAGTCATCGATGGCGGGAGTTTTTGGCGGCCCGAATGCGCCTATGTCGGATGATGATGACATGTATCCAACCGGAATGAATCGGCCAATAACATTACAGGCATATGAGGAGCCATCGCTCCCGATTCAACCCACATTGACAATGCCCGGCTATAACCACCCCCGGCTGAATTGGGCATTTCTCTACAAGAACCGTAAAAAACTCGAGGAAAATTGGCTACACAACCGATTCACAACATTCCAAATCCCCCATCCCAACTACCCTCACGAGGGTCATACAGAATGTATCTACACCATCCAATATTCACCCAACTTCCTTGTATCTGGGTCGCGTGACCGAACAATTAGAATTTGGAACATGCGTACCCGGAGGTTAGTGGGGGAGCCATTGAAGGGTCATACCGGGAGTGTCCTGTGTCTCCAGTTTGATGAAGAAGAGCAAGTTTTGGTGACTGGATCGTCAGATTCTAGTGTTGTCGTTTGGAAATTCCCCACTGGCGAAAAACTGAAGGTTATCGAGAAAGCTCATCAGGAATCTGTTCTTAACTTGAAGTTCTCGAAGAAATGGCTTGTGACATGTTCCAAGGATAAGTTAGTTAAGGTCTGGAATCGAGAGCAGCTAGAGACCACAAACAAGGACTATCCATGGGTATCAAAGGCCCTATGGAGCACCGGTACCAACAACGCTATCGATGTTCGGAGCCATCCGCACCACCCAGATAATATTGGAAACAACCCGCAAGCAGCATGGGCCACATGGACGGTCCAGGAGCCCTCCATGG